ATTAATATTGAAAAACTTATAAAAACCGTTCCAGTATATTTTCCTCCGTTTGTTACACCATCTGTTCCAGTGTCCATTAAAGCTTGAGAACCTACTTCTTTTGTTTCTAATGTTTCTATGTCATCGTCAATATTCCATTTTTTTTCAGTAACTAATTCATTGAGTTTCACTTTTCTTTCGTTTATCCAATCATCAGATAGTAAAAATAATGAAGGTTTTCCATACAGAACACTATTCCAATCATTTTTATAGCCTGAGCATATTTTAATAATTTTTTCGAGTTCTGCCTTAATTTGGTTTTTATCTTCATAAGGATGTTCTTCTAATTTTTCTATCTTCTTTGTAAACGGACGCACATTAACAGTGGTCCTCTGAAGTGGATTATTTTTAAAGAGATTAATGTACTCATATATTTCCAATATATAATCCAATAGTGTAGATGTGTTACTATCAATATAGACAAAATAATCCATACATATACTAGATATTTTCGTTTTGAATGTACTTCCATCTTGTTCTGTCATTTTACCGTAGCAATCTCTAGGGTCAGTATATTCTAATGAGAAATTATCTATTATATCTTTTTTCAGTTTATAATAGAATAATTTACAACATGGTTCTAGTTTCAACGTAGATTTCTTATTTTCTAAATTCTCTAAATATAAACCAAGTTTTCCGCAATATCTAACAAAATTCCAAGAGTTAGAAACATCTTTGTTTAGAACATTCTTAAAATTACTACACAATTTAATAAAGTGATCAGCCGTACCACCACCATTATAGTATCTTATATCCCATGAAAAATTTTCGGTACAAGTTGAATATATACCAGATAAATCGATCTAAAAATATGAGTCATAACATATTCAAAAATTAAAAATGTTATATTTAAGAAAAAATTCATTATTTCGTTCTTAATAAATATTATATTTTAAAATTATGTTTCAAAATAATAATTTTAATATAATTTTGAATCTCACTTTTTCAGTTCCCAAGTTAGCGTTGCTCATGTTTAATATATCTGTATTAATAAATAAAAATTTATATTATTTTTTTTTATATACTTTTACTTGTTATGAATATTAAAGTAAATATTCTGTGCATATCATATATATTATCTCATGAATTTTTTAAAATTTTTTATTTACATTACGTTCATAAGTATGCTAAATTATACATATATTTTAAACTGCCTTAGTTTTATTAGTTCTGCAAATTAAGGTTCTTTATTAATAAAAATAATATAATTCAAAAAGAAATTGTATCCTTGTATATATGTTATAAGAACATATTATAAAAATTATTTTTTTAAAAATATTATATATATAAATCTATTTTAATAATATAATTAGGTTATTTAACAAATAAATGTGATTATATAACATAATCAATAATTTTATTATTTTATATTTATTTGTGTCTTTAATTATTTTATAAAATTTATATATATTATTTCAACTATAGTATTCTTCTGCTTAAAATCCTTACTTTAGAAATAGTAGTTTGCGATTTAAGAATTTGTGTGTATATTTTTTGCTTATTTTTAGTTTTTTCTTTTAAATGCTTAGATTTTATAATTTATACAAGTTTATTAGTATTTATTTGCGTATTTATATAAAATGATAAGAATGGAAAAAATTAATATACCATAATTCATGAGAATTATTTTTAAATAAGCTAAGTAAATTTGTCTATGATATATTTTTATATATAAATTAATACCCGTATATGCAGCAGCATAATTAAATGTTTTATGGAATAAAAAATATAATTAGATATAAATGTGGTACGATTTGTTTATTTTATATTATATTCATATTACAAGAATATTGCGTATAAAAAAAAAACTAATTAGGAAGTAGAATTTTTTATTCTATATTATATGCAAATAAATATTACAATTTTTTTTGAGTTATTATTTTTGTTTTATATAGTATTATTCTTTAATGAAATAATTAATCTAATAACCACCAATTATCATTATTTTAATGTGGTATATATATATTTTTGTGTATATAATTATTCAATACAAAATTAATTCTCAATATTATGTTAAAATTTTTATTTTTTAACCACTTTAACAATTTCAGGTTATTCTCACTCGACATTCCAAATAAATGCCTTTTACTGAGAAATATAATAACACGCATGAAATTTATTTCTATGTACAAGGAAAATGTACTATAGTAATTAATATATTTATTTATTTTATTCTAATATAATAAACGGAATATTAATTTCAAAGTAATTATATCTTATTTTGCTTTAATTATTTATTAAAAAATAATAAATTACTTATATTATTAGTGTCTCGTTAAATATTTCTCAATGTACACTATGTGGTAATTGAATGTAAAATTAATTTAATTCTTATGTGAATAATATTCTAGAAATAATACGTTATTTATTATAAACACTTAAATATAGACATAAATAAAAACAATAATAAAATCTGTAAATCTCAAACATCAAATTTAATATTTTTACTTTTAATTAGTAATGCTATTAGAACACGTATACATGACAATTTTTATTACGCATATTCCATATAATTTATAATAGAAATTATATATTCTTAAATATTCATTCATATAATAATCATTAAATGTAGGTTTTCGCATAATTAAAAGGCATTAGAGAATTATTACTTTTTTACATATTATATAAAAATGTAGCAATTTATTAGAATAATATGATTTATTATGTGCCAGAATTAATGTATATCGTATAAAATTCATTATATACGTGAAATTAATATATATATATATATAAGGTATTTTGTTACATAATTAAATAAAGGCCATATATATGTATTTACAGAAGTGTTTTATTAGGTATTTTTGAATTTGTTAAAAGAGTGCTTAATAAGTTTTCATAAAAATGGATACAGTAATACATAAATATTTAGCAAT